GCGAATTAATTGTCAGAACATGCTTTATACACCGGCACGAAGAGACCGGACCCTAGCGCATCTTGAACTGCTACCACCACCTTCGTTAATTGGAAGGTCCGTGGTTGCTTAGGGCAGGCCTTGGGGTCATTTCAGGGATTTGCACCGAGAGGTCATGGTAGGCAAAATACGCCCGAAAGGGGTCATCGGAGGAATTACCTCCCGGCATCCTTAAAGCCAAAATAATCATAATTTTTTTCGCATTGTGATTTATTTCAAATATGCAAGTACTATATTGATGTCAGAGTAGATTTCATTCCCAATTTGTTCGAGGTGAAATGATTTCCAAATGATTATTATTTTCAATGTTAGGGTCCTCAAGTTCGACTTCGGCGTTTTCGCGAGCGGCGGTCCGAACAAGGGGGGGAGAGGTGGGGCAGTTTGTTTCCAAGTTCGAACCTCGCACGGGTGCTTGCATACTTCACATGCTTATATCCCTCTAAACAGGTAAACAACACATGATACTCGACTCAGCTCCCGAGCTGCCGCCACCCGCAGCCTTCCCCTCTTCTTCCCCCGCACCTCCAGAATGCAACGTCCTATCGCGACAGGACAGTTCTGCGCCACTCCTTTCCCACGACAGGGCCGAAGCCGGGTATGGGTATGGGGACGCGGAGCGGGTCGGGGCGAGAGATGAGGTGGAGGAGGAGAGCGAGCAGCAGGCTGAGGCTAGAGTGAGGAAGGAGTTGCCCCCTATCAAGTACCTCCGCGCATGGACCTACCCTCTCAAAGTACGTCTTCTCCTCCTCTACATTTCCCTCTCGAGGCAAACAGCCAACCCTCGCAGGGGATCTACTACCTCCTCCGCCACCCCGTCCTCTGGAAACCAATGCGCCGGCGACTCCCCCTTGCGCTCATAATAAGCACAACGATCATCACGCTCATGTTCGTGCTTACCTTCCTGCCCCAAGCGGCCTTCCTCGCGCTATTCAAGATCCACGGCCCGCTCGCGCTTTTCCACGCTGCGCTCGCGGTGCTCACGGAGAGCGCGACGCTCATCAGCTTCATACTTGAGAACTTTGTGATCGAGGAAGGGGTGGTGGACATATTCGACGCGACGCTCCTTCTCAAGCGGGAGGACGGGCTTGTCTCCAGGGGGAGGGAACTGAAGCCTCTGGCGACGGAGGAGAATGGCGTGGTCGTCCAGGGAGCGAAGGATGTAGTGGACCGTTTGGGAGAGTATACGATGAGCCCGTTCACGAGGTTTTCCTTCTGTGACCTGTTTGTTTGGGTTTTGGAACTGCCGATCAACTTCGTCCCTCTGGCAGGGCCGTGGTTGTTCCTAGCGCTTCAGGGTGGGTGATCTTGCATAATTGTAGGAAACGACTGAGAGCGCGGTTTAGGGCTCAGCGTGGGCCCGGCTGCGCATTATCATTATACGCTATTGTTAGGGCTGAAGAAGAAGGAACAAGGGGTGTACTTCAAGCATCACCGACTGGAGTATATGGGGTACGTCCGCTCCTCCTGTCGCTCTTCAACCATCTCAGGCATGTTAGGTACGGCGCTGTTGGTCTCTTATTGCAGACATTCCCGATCGTGAGCACCTTTGTATGCTTTACGAACGCGATTGGCGCTGCGCTGTGGGCGGTACAGGTGGAGAGGGTAAAGCGCGGTGAAGGGGTAGATCGACATATTGAGCGGGACAGTTGATGTGATAGTGTATTGTTCTGATATATATACAGCTGGAATGTACTAGGATGAACTACGGGAATACCATTCGTCAATTGGAGGACTCACAAGCCACATGACCTCACTTCACGTGCGTATCACGCGCCTTTCTACACTGCCACCATCCCAATAAGGCAAAGATGCTTCTAGAGTGGGCTAGAAGGTGGCGGGCGGAGAGTGTTCCCGCTCCGATTTTCTCCACGAGACTGTCACGGGCGCTTAAGGGTATAAGTACTGGGCAGTAGGGGGAGGAGGAGCGGCACTCTTACTCTTCAGAGTTATACCACCACCATCAACACTACTACCACAACATGTCCAACTTTGACTTTACAGACAAAGCACGCGACTCTATCTCAGCCGCTCTCCAGCTAGCGAAAGACTACAGCAACGCCCAGGTCTACCCTGCACATCTCGCTCATGTACTCTTGCACGAGGCTGCGCCTACTGCGAACGGGAGGATGCCTGGGGCAACTGGGGCAGACGCACCGGCAGGACAGAGTCTCTTCCACAGCGTGATAGACAAAGCTGGGGGTGACGCGACTGCCCTCAACCGCGGCTTGCAGAAACTCATCGTCCGACTTTCACGACAAGAACCCGCACCGGAGGAGACGACACTCAGTAGCCAGGTGCTCAAGGTGCTCCGCCAAGCCCAGGATATACAGAAGACGATGAACGATGTGTATATCGCCCAGGACCACTTGCTACTCGCCCTCATCCAGGACGAGCAGATCAAGAGTGTGCTCCAGGAGGCGGGGCTGACGGAAGCGGTGCTCAAGACAGCGATTAGGGACTTGAGGGGCGGGAAGAGGGTGGAGACGAAGGATTCCGAGCAGGGGTTCGACGCGCTCAACAAGTACGCGACGGACCTTACGAAGCTGGCGGAAGACGGCAAGCTCGACCCGGTTATTGGGAGGGACAACGAGATCCGGAGAGTTGTGAGGATCCTTTGCCGGAGAACGAAGAATAACCCTGTGCTCATTGGCGAGCCTGGTGTGGGCAAGACCGCGATTGCCGAAGGCCTCGCACAGCGCATCGTGCAGCGAGATGTGCCTGCCTCTCTCCTCGGCCGCCTCTTTTCCCTCGATATGGGCGCGCTGATGGCTGGAGCGAAGTACAAGGGCGAATACGAAGAGCGCGTCAAGAGCGTCTTGAACGAGATCGAGAAAGCGGGCGAGCAGGGACAAGGCGTCATCCTCTTCATCGATGAGATGCACTTACTCATGGCTGGCAAAGGTGGGGAAGGAGGGGGGATGGACGCTGCCAACCTTCTCAAGCCTATGCTTGCCCGGGGCAAGCTGCGCTGTATCGGCGCGACGACCCTGGCCGAGTACAGGCAGTACATCGAGAAGGACAGCGCGCTGGAGCGGAGATTCGCCCAGGTGCTGGTGAACGAGCCCTCTGTACCGGATACGATCTCGATCCTCCGCGGCATCAGGGAGAAGTACGAAGTGCACCACGGTGTGCGCATCATGGACGGCGCGCTTATCCAAGCTGCCACGCTCGCACATCGGTATCTTACCTCAAGGCGCTTGCCGGACGCAGCGATCGACCTGGTCGACGAGGCGTGCGCGAGTGTGCGCGTCACCCGGGAGACGGCTCCGGAGGAACTGGACAAGCTTGAGCGGACAAAACTGCGGTTGGAAGTCGAGATACATGCTTTGGGGCGGGAGAAAGACCAGGCCAGTAAGGACCGACTCGCTGCTGCGAAGAAGGAGATCGCGGACTTGGACGAGCAGCTCGGGCCTATGAAGGCTGCTTATGAGAACGAGAAGCAGCGCTGGGACGAGGTGAACAGCGTAAGGAGGAGGATTGACGAGCTCAATGCTAAGGCGGACGACGCAGAGCGGAGACACATCGTGGGGGTTGCTTCGGATTTGCGCTGGGGTGCGATCCCGGACTTGAAAGAGAGACTGAAGAAACTCGAGGAGAAGAAGGCGCTCGAAGATGCCGCCGGAACAAATATTAGCGACACGGTCACTCCGGAAGCGATCGCGGAGATCGTTGCTCGCTGGACGGGGATCCCGACTACGCGCCTGCTCAGCTCGGAGAGGGACAAGCTCCTCCGTATGGAGCGCATCCTGTCAAAAGAAGTCATCGGCCAACCTCAAGCTGTCAAAGCCGTTGCGAACGCTATCCGGCTCTCGCGCTCAGGGCTGGCAAACGCCTCCCGCCCTATCGCTTCGTTCCTCTTCGCCGGCCCCTCCGGAACAGGCAAGACGCTGCTCTCGAAGAAACTCGCCGAGATCATGTTCGATTCCCCTGACGCTATGATCCGGATTGACGGCTCGGAGTACTCGGAGAAACACTCGATCTCCCGGCTGATTGGCGCTCCTCCTGGGTATATAGGGCATGACGCTGGTGGGCAGCTGACGGAGTACGTCCGGCGCAAGCCGTACACCATCGTCCTCATCGACGAGATCGAGAAAGCCTGCAGGGAGTTCGTCACTCTCTTCCTGCAAGTACTAGATGATGGCCGTTTGACCGACGGTCAGGGCCGCGTCGTCGACTTCCGCAATACGATCATCATCATGACCTCCAACCTCGGTGCGGTATACCTCAACGACGCCGGGGAAGGCGAGATCAAGCCCGAAGCGCGCAAGCTCGTCATGGACACTATCCAATCCCACTTCCCGCCAGAATTTATCAACCGGATTGACGAGATAATCATCTTCCGCTCGTTGACGCGGCAGAACGTGCTCGAGATTGTCAACGTCCGCCTGCGCGAGCTAGACAAGCGTATCGCGCCCAAGGGGATGACACTCGACGTGGACGAAGAGGCGAAGCACTATCTTGGCTCTATTGGGTATTCTCCAGTGTACGGCGCGCGTCCGCTTAACCGCGCGATACAGCACGAGATCCTCAACCCCCTGTCCGTGCTTATCCTTGAAGGGAAGATCCTGGATGGTGAACCCGTCCGCGTGCACTTTGACGGCCCGAGGAATAGGCTCTGGATCGAGCATAACCATGAGGGAGACGCGAAGGGCGATATGGATGTTGACGAGGATGAGTTGGAGATTGAGGAGATGGATTGAGCACGCTTGGTGCTTGGTGTCGGGTGCGGATTGACCTACCAAAATGTCTTTCGTAATTTGTTTTTTTCCTTTTGTAATGCAAAATGGGGACCGTAGATGGTCGTGTAGATTACATTCAGAACTTTACGAATTGTATAATTTCATTGACCAATGTAGTCTACACCAGGGACCCTTCTCCACCCGATTTCGGCATGAACCTTTGGTCAGGCACTCCCCACTCGTCCATGTTAACCTCACCTCGACCCAATGAGCATGCTACAAGAACGGCGCCGCTTTCGTACCCCCGTTCACATTTGTACTAGGTTAACCCGACTCGCTTCGCTCAGCGTAGTTATGTGAAAGACCCTATGTATTGCCTCGGAGTCTTTTTTTGGTACATTTGTTGTATCTACATACATTTCAATCATAATAGGAAATTGCAGGAGAAAGAAGAATAGAAAAGCAGGTATCTAAGAAATATTGGAAAGAACTTTGGGATATACAACATTTTGAGTGACTCTATGCATCTCTACAGTTGGTGCTTGAGGCAGCAAGAGTATTCTAATTGCAGAAGGCAATGTACAATGTGAAAATGCAACATATAATTGGCCATGTGAGAAAACAGGAATGCTTAAGTCCAAACCAACATTTGTGACTGACTGTCCTTGAGCCTTGTTGATTGTCATTGCAAATGCAAGTTGAACCGGAAACTGCTGGCACTTCAGGACAAAGCTGAGATTGTCCTCAGATGGTGTGAGTGAGATGCATGGAATGAATGCTGTTGTATCATGATGTTCACCTCCAAGGAGTCAAACTTCTAAAACTTAATTTGTTGAACAAATGAGTTGAACTTCTGAAACTTAATTTGTTGAACGAATGAGTTGACATCATGTCCCATTACAAAGGCCTTGTGCTGTTGCAAGATTCTGCAGTAACATAAGTGGACACCCAGGCTTGATTTCCAACTTGCTGAGGGGAAGTCCAGGCACTTTGAGTGCATTCAGATACTCAGTTGGAATTTCCATCTGTGCATCGATGCCTGGCTCCTGAACAACTGAATCTGCTGAGAGGAAGGTGATGACTTCTCCAGGATGGCATGCAAGTACTTCTGCATTGAGATCATTGACATCTGTGTTGCATGTAACAAGAATCATTTCATTGAGGAAGTAGTCATCTCCATTTGGTCCTCCACATGGTTCTTGATGTCTTGATATAGTGATGTGATCAGGCTGTCCACTGAAGTCTTGCATTTGATTCCATCCCAAAGGTTGAGCATTCCATTGGCATGGGAGGCATGTCCACTTCCTACTTCAAGAAGCCAGCTTGCAAATGCAGCAC